CAGCAATGAACGTGCCCCATCTGAAGCGCTGCTGCCCCCCAAATTATGGGTAGAGTTTTCCAAAAGGGAAACAAATAATAATCGAAAAACTATACAGGTTGGCACTTAAAACGAAATGACCTTTACATGAGATGACCTTTATATTTATAAAAGCATAGAGCCTTAGGCAGAGTTATTCCACGTGTGAGTCCAAGAAACCAGACAAAGCCTGTTCTTCGAAAGATATACCTTCTGTGGACTAGGGTGACAGGCTATTAATAATAATGGTAATAAAATATTTATATTTTATTTGGATTGACGATAGACACATATTATACACTGACAGAAAACTGTCATGCGAAATTTTAGCTTATAGGTTTAACAATAATAGTATTTTGCGTAATGCAGCAATTATGCTTGCGAGTTACACTTGCTTTTAATGATCTCAAATATTCCAAGATTATTTAACACTCGCTCTATTTACGGCGCCTCCAAGGCTGCATTTATTGCCATTATCTCAAATGAGGCTTGAACTGTGCACTCCACCATGCCGGGCCCAAACATAATAGTGTGGGACGTGGGGGCAGGTTAGCCAAGCTTATTGAGCCATCTAGTAAATGCCTCAATTGCAGACCCCAATGCTAATTAGCATAATTGTTGGAGCTAATCTTTTTACTCTTTGACTCATCCCATCCACAGAGACATTGCAACACGCTGCCCTGGGCGTTGCTGATGGCACTGCTGCTCGCCGCGCTCATGCTCCAGTTGGCAACCGCCGATGGCATTCAGGCGGCGGATGAGGCGGCCACAGAAGTTGAGAATGTTAGCACTGAGAGCAATGAGATTATACCGCGAGAGGCCATACAGAAGCTGGACTACTCGGTGCGACAGGCGCTGCTGCGTGCCATAGACAAACTGGAGCGGGAAGAGGCCTCTTCGCAAGGCGAGCTGGAGGCGGAGGCGGAGGCGTCAATCAGTGCGCTGCCGCTGAAGCGCAATGAGATAACCACATTGGCCGCGCCACGGGAGCGTGAGGAGATTCTGGAGGAGAGCACCAGCTCCTCGGATGCTGTGGTGCCCACCGTGCAGTTCTATACGGCCACCTTTGACGAACGCAATGCCCAGGAGCAGTTGCTTTCGTCCTTTATCGATCGCTCTAAGCTGTGGAAGAAGACAACAGTCCGCAAGCCGGTCTCCATCGATGCCAAGCTGGATGCGGATACGAGTCCAGATTCGCGTCAGCTGACACGCAGCGTGGACAGCTCGCTGGGCAGCAATGAGATTGCACACGATGGTAGCAATGAGATCAAGTTTGAGATACGCAACGTGAAAAAGGCAACGACGGCAACAACATCAACATCAACAACAACCACAACAACAACGACGACAACAACGCCAAGGCCACGCACCACCAGGCGACGCACGACCAGCACCACAACAACCACAACAACAACAACGCCGCGCCCCACACACAACGAGGATGGCGAGAACATTGAGCTGGTGGACAAGGAGGATATACGCATACAGGCGGCGCCGCTCGTAACCGCCTTCACAGTGGATCTAGATGAGCGGGGCACGGCGCAAAAGTTTCGGCCTCTGCTGCAGGGCGAGCAAAGCTTTCCACAGCCGCAGCAGTTGCAGCTGCAGCAACAGCAACAGCAGCCGCAGTTGCCTTTGCCACTGCCACACATTGGACCCACCATTACCAAGCTGAACGTTCTGGAATCGGAGCTACCTGCAGCACCGCTCACCACACAGAGTCCCACGAGCACCACCAGCACGAGCACCGCACAGACGAGTCTCAACCATGCGGGCTTCTCCACAACGCCCGCCTTTCTCAGCGGCAGCAGCTCGAACAACAACTACATCAAGGTAGGTTCGCATCCAAATGACAAATGACACCGCACTAATCTTGGCTTATTTCTCTGCATAAAGGAGCCGCTGGCTAGCCCTAGTGTTACAGCACCCGTGCCGCCCAGCGTCAATAGCTACATCATTGAGCGGCAGCGCGCCCTGGAGCAGCAAATCTATCAGCTGAAGCTGCAGGCCCAACAGCAGCAGGCGCTGATCTTGCGCCAGTTGAAGCTCCTGGAGGAGCAGAGTCAAAGTCGCTACCAAGTTGCGCCGCTTGCGCAATCGAGCACATTGCAGCCGCTGCAGCAGCAGCAGCAGCAACAGCAACAGCAACAACAGCAACAGCAGCAGCAGCTTCAGTTGCAGCAGCAGCAGCTACAGTTGCAGCAGCAGCATGCATCACTGGAGGCAATACAAACGCTGCAGCCGCCTCTGCCTGGTTACTCCATCAGACCTTCGGTGGAATTTATACCCAGCACACATACGAAGACCATTATCTATCCCACATATCCAATTGAGCAGCAATTGCCGCTGCGCGATGCCGTTGCGGCTCATAAATTTGCCCTGCACGGCAACAACAACAACAACAACAATAACTATCAGAAATCGCCAACGGCAACGAGTGCAGTGCAACAAATTTTCCAAAATTTGCAACAAAATCTGCAAAAAACAGCGGAAAATGCTGTCAGCAATAACCAAAATCCCAATAGCATTGCCAACAGCAACATAAACAACAACAACAACAACAACAATCATTTACAGCTACAAGCCTCAAATCAGTTCAGCTTTGCGCCCGCGGAGGCATCGCTATTGCAAGCACCACCCCAAAATAATTACCAGCAATTTCAGCAGCAGCAACAGCCGCAGCAGCAACCGTTGCTGCTGCCCAGCTATGTAAGCAATGCGCTTTATCAGCAACAGCAACATCAGCAGCAACAGCAACAGCAGCAACAGCAACAGCAACAGCAGCAGCAGAATCGAGCGCGTTTTTTTCGCCAGGAGTCGGGCACCGGGAACTTTGGGCTAAATAATGAAAATGTGGAAATTCAGCCGAGCAACTCCTTTGCCACCTCCATTGTAAGCCAGCAAAACAATCTGGAAAATCAAAATTTCTATCGCCAACACTTGACGCCGCAGCTGAGCAGCCAATTGCAGCAAAATGCGCAGCAGTATCTGCAACAGCAACAGCAACTGTTGCAGCAGCAGTCAAAGTCAACGACAGCAGCAGCAGCAACAGCAGCAGGAGCAGGCACGCCCAGCGTGAGCTCAGGTAATTCAAATTCTAGATTAAATTTACCTAGCAATCAGTTAAGTCCGTTTAATAGTTTAAGAAATCTTGAAGAATTGAAAGTAATTAGTAAAGTTTTAGCTCTCAACCATGGCATACCGCAATTTGCATCACAAAACCTGCACTACAATGGCGCCTTTTGAGCACCACCAACTGCACCACCAGCACCACCACCAGAACCAACACCATTCCAAACAAAATATATGCACATCCTAATATCACCACCAATCCAAACAATCCCTTCAGCCGGATGTCTGCCGTTCCATATTTGCCCGTTAATTAAGTTCTTCTTGCAACATCTTTGTAAATACGCACTTTAAAGCATAAGCATTATAATAATGAATGCGCGACAAGGAACAACCGAAGCAACAGGAAGTTTTGAACAGGATGTGCCGTGGCGTCTTTAAGCTCTGCTTGGCTAAAAGCTGAATATCGAAATGTAATAATTATTTATTTTTATGTGAATAAAGTTTATGATAAAGTACAACAAACATACTGAAACTGATCTTAAAAATAAAATTGTTTTTAAATAATTAATTAAACAAAAGTTTTTGATTGCGGACCCAAGAGTATGGCTTGAGTGTTCTTTGTTTGGAATAAATATCAATTTAAAGAAAATCCTTTTATTTATCATATTTTTAAGACCGGACCTAATATAGCGATCCAAGATATATTAAATTTCAGAGTGGAGAAGCAAACATATAAATTTAAAACTTGTAAGATGTTGCATACTTTTGAGCTGCTCGTGTTTTTTGAAGTACCGTATTTTATCACCGGATAACGACTGGTCGCCATCATGTGAATTTGGATTTGGAAAGTATTGCATACTTTCCGACTGCCCAATAAAAGCAGTTCGTATTTATGATCCAAAAATATTGATACATTTTAACTCAGATTAAACCATTATTTTAATGCTTGTTTAAGGATTTCGACAATGTTGTATTTAAACAAATTTGATAATATTTATAAAATCACCTTTAAATGACATCCAATCACTAGCAACCAAAAGTTCATCAATTCTTTCAGTTATGTCAGTAGAATTTTGTTGTTGTTTATTGCACAATTACAATATACATGTTCTCATTCATATAATTTATTATAGCTAAATTACTAACGTATATATATAAAAAATATGTGGGGCTCTCTTTCCGTTATTTATATTACTGAGTTCGCTAGCGGGGAAGGGGCGGTTGGTTTAAGGAACGGGGACGGGGCGCGGTTAGTGTTAACAAAACAACAGCGAAGCTTACAAAGAGCTGAGAAAGCAGTTACTAAAACTAACTTAGAATTACATTTAACTTAATAGTTTAGATTTTCATGTTTGTTTTGTTTTGATTTTCTCATCAAATTCATAGCTCCGGGGCAATAGTTTAACAATTTCAACAGGCGCGCTTTACATTAATTTTTTTCTTTTGTTGGGGAGCGGTCTTAGCTATGCCTATGCGGCGTATAGCGCTTAACTAATATGGTACATGGACTTTTTGTTTTTTTTTTCATAGGTTTTTTTTTTATAAAAAAAAATAGTAGAATTCGTTTCGAGCTTAACAAAAACGCAAGCTAATTAAACTAACAGATTGGAGTAGTGTATGCACTCATCCATTTCTGAGTAATGGGTATGTATATAATAAATATTTTTTTTTTTAATTTTTTAATTTTTATATGTTTTGTTGGTGTTTGGACTAAACTAATTAAAAATTTATCACTAGTCTCTATATGTATATATATATAAAAATATTCCTCTACATTCGTATAATTTGCTCAAGTCTTAAGAATACAGTTGGTTTTCAATATGAATTTGACAGTATCATAACGTGCAATGTGCGCGTTTAAAGGGGTGGATGGCGGGTTGGGTGGCCAAGTTTGTAAGACATTTGCTTTGCTCTTTTCGTACAGGGTTAATTTTTTGGGGATTGGGCAGGGTCAATTAGTACAAACTGACTATGGGTCTATACTAGTACTACAATTTATGCATTTAGGGCTAGTTAGTTCTATGCAGTTACAAATAATTATATCATTTCTTGCATATTTCGTGTTGCTGTTGTTGTTGTTGTTGTTGCTGCTGCTGTTGGTCTGCTCCAACTCTTTTTCTATAAGGCACAGATATTTGTTACATCAGTTTCATCTAGTTTCTCTTTTATACACATATAAATACTTTTCGCCTAATGCAAATAAATACCAAAAATAAAAATAATTACAAAATTATACAGCTCAGGTGGGAAGGGGCGTCGTCCAGCAGGTAGCGGGAACTACACCTCCACGCCGTAGTTGCGGTCGACGACATAGTCGTAGCGTTGCTGCTCTGGCTTGGCCTCATCGGCCAGTGGAGCTGCTACGGGAACGGAGACGGCCACAGGGATGGGTGCAGAAACAGGGGCTGGGTTAATGGCTGGGGTGAGGGTGGCAGCCAGTTTGGACAATGCGCCGTCTGTTGATCGATGGTGATGCTCACTGAGATTCTTATTTCTATTGCTGCTGGCCACCAGAGCCGTGTTAATGGCAATGGCTGTTTCAACCACATTGTCCTCCTCATCATCATTGTCGTCCTCTTCCTCTTCCTCGATGGCATCCGCATCGGGATGCATGAATTCGATGGGCAGCTCGGGCACGGACATGCCCTTGCGTGTAAAGAAGGAGATTTTCTCTCTGCAACAAACAATGGGCAAGATTAGCAGCTGGACACGCTTTGGTCAAATAATATAACTCACTTAAAGGAGACCAAATCGGGGGCGCCTTTGGGCACCTTGGTCTTGCGTAGCTTGTGTATTTCTTTGGTGGTCTTCATCAGCAGTTTCTGCAACAGTCGCTCCTCGGGGAACTTGGCGGGATCGGCACGTGCAACCAGACGCTGGAACTCTTCGTTCTCAATGGCCCAGGCCGCAATCAAAGGATCCTTGTTATCGCACGCCTTCTGAAGACTACAAGAGATGGAGAAGATAAGCAGGAGGAACGTTGTGCATTTCAAACTACTTACACTTCCTTGAGGTTCTGAAGCTTGGAGATTTGATCGTTGAGAAAGAAAAGCTTGCTGTGCTGTGCCTGTAGATCCAACTCCAAGTCCAAGCTAGTGCGTGGTATGTGATTATGATGCAGTTCTAAAAGCCAAATAGATAATTTAGTTAGATTCAAGTTACCAGAATGACGTTTTATGTTGGACTTACTTGTAACTGACTTGGTCGCTTTGGGTTGGAAGCGCAGCGAACGCCGCTCCACGGCGCCGCGATGGAAGGTATGTGGCGTTACGCCAAAGTGCATGGCCGAGTCCGAGTCGCTGCGATTGAGCCGACAATTATAACGATTCTTGCTGACTGCCGCCGAGGGCGTAAACGTTTGCGAACGCTTCACGGGCCTGTCGTCCAGCAGCTGCGATTGGCTGCGTAGCTTTTCTGGTGGAAAGGCGCAATCGGTGTTAGTTTCCTTATCGGCATACTCCTGCTTCATGTTCTCCAGGTAGGCGTCCAGCATGCAACCAGCTAATGGTGGGTTTACAAATTCGGCATAAATTAGAAATTCATGTGCTATTCGAAGAGTTCGACTACTTACAGTGCGTCAGGCCGAGTGTGCCGACCAGCTGCTGTTCATCCTCCTCCTCATCGTCGTCGTCATCATCGTCGCTGCACTGCTGCTCATTGTGGCGGACATGTTCGGGCAGCTCCTCGGCTATTTGCGCCTGCAGCTCCAAAGGCGGCGCCTGGTTGCGCGTTAGCGTTGAGGTTTGCGATGATGTTATTGTGGATTCATCCGAGGATTCTTCGCGATTGTTGGTGTTGCTGTTATTGTTGTTGCTGTTGCTGGCGGCAACAGCGGCAGCTGCTGCCGCTGCGCTAGTGGAGGGCAAATCCAATGATTCAAAGCTCGGTATAAACTTGGAACTGAGCACATTGTACCATTTGAGCGTGGAATCTTCCGGATTGAACTCGGCCATGCTTATCTGCACAGTGCCCTGAAAGAATCAAATCAAAGCAAGTATTAGAGCTTACTCTCTTATAATGCACAGCAGCTGCGACTTACAATTATCTCCTCCTTTTGTCCAGTCATGCTGACCACGGTCACCTGCAGGCTCTTGGTCAGCAGCTTGTCCAACGAGATGGGCACCGCGAAGGTGTCATTGAAGACGGGCTTCTGGAAGTCACTTAGCGCCTTGGTGCGTATGGAGGTCAGCGAATTGGGCAGCAAAGCGGCGCGCAAATAACTGCAAAAGGAGAAGATAGAAATGTGAGCAACGGCCATTGAATAGGATCTGATCGAGCAGACTTACACTTGCGAGTTGTCCGTGGTGGCTGTCCATAGAGCTGACAAATTATTGGCACGCTCTAGAGACACGACAAGTACACCTTCCTGCTTCAGATATTTCAGTCCAATCTGCACCTGGGCCAGTTCCTTACGCGGCAAGTGCGCACGGGATGCCTCAAAGACGCCAGAATCACCGGCAACAGACTCATTGCTTACAGCTGCCGAAACGGAACGCGTATTCGAGGTGGAAGAGGAACGACTCAGCATCTCTTGTGGCAGATCTAGCAGAGAGGGCTTCTCTGAGATGGGCGATAGCGGACCGTTCAGATTGAGCGGTGAGCCGAGGTTCAGCTTTTGTAGTTTTGCCTCTAGCATCATGCAGTCCAGCACTGTGGAGTCCAGGTCATAAGGATGAGCACGCACAGCAGCCAATGCCAACGGGATGGCAGGTGGAGCTGCGTAGGCGGGCGGCGCGGGTATCGTGGGCAGAGCGGGCAACGCATTGGCATATGTTGGCTCCTCTTTGAGCTTGGCCTGTGCCTGCGGCTGATCGGCAACCGCATTGTATTTCATGGGCGAGGCAGGCGGCGTTTCCATTGAGAGGCTACTGCGCGGCGACAGTGAGACCTCCGAGGATGCCAACGGCTGCGTCTGTTGCTGCTGCTGCAGGGCTGGGTGCACGGGTGGCAGTCGCTGATGCTGCTGGAATAGGCGCTGCGAGCGTCGTTGCAGATCCACCACATCAATGGGCGATTCGCCCACGGCAAAGGGATCTATGTAAATGTCCGTAAAGCTGAGCGCGCTCTTACTGCTCGCAGTAGAGAGGGATCCCAGGCTGCTGCCGCTGCTTATGGAGAAGGTGCTCTCCGAGGAGAATGACTTGAGGCGCTCCTCTAGCAGTTTGGTGGACTTCAGGGCCTCTTGCAGCTTGTCCAGCAACAGTTGTTTCTCCTCGTGGAAGCGCAGACGATTCGCTATGCATGTGTTGGTCGCCTCGTACGCCTCCTTCAGATCCTCCTCCAGCTTGTGGCGCGTCTGTTGTATGACCTGTTTCTCCTCGGCGCTGCGCGACTTTAGCGAAATGCTGTTTAGGTCGTTGAGCAGCTTCTCCTTCTCCTGTATAAGCAGAATGCGATCCTTGTCCGACTCAAGTTGACCCGGCTCAATGCGCTCCACATGATCCGCCAGCTGCTGTTGCAGTTTCTTGATGTGCTTGCGCCACTCTGCATATTGTAGCTTCGTCTTGGCCATCTCCGCGAAGCGTGCTCCGCCATTCAGATGCTCCCCGGCGCCGCACAGGTCCGTTTGGCTGGCCACGCATACGCGATCAAAGGGTGAGGCGGCACTCATTAGCTCGGCATTCTCCTCATTGATTTGCTGGCGGCTCAGCTCGTTCTTGATCTGCACCAGACTGCGCATCAGTTCCTCGCGCACCTTCTCGCCGGAGACAAGGGACTTGTGCACCTTGAGCATCTCCTCGCGTATCGCTTGAACCTCGGCAATGTCGTAGCAGCCGTTCTTGCGCGCATTGATCTTCTCGCCCACGGAATAGAGCGTGTTCATGCCCCGCTCCGTGTAGGATATATCATTGGTAATGTGAGTCAGCTCCTGTTTCAGTTGACGCACGCGCTCACGCGCCAGCATCAGATCGGCACGCAACAGTTCCGGATCGTGTCGGCTCATAGAGCTAGACGACGAGCATACTGCAAATGGGAGGAAGAGAGAAGCGGGTAAGTAATGGTTGTTGATAGTTTAAAAATACTCTACATTATTCGGTATCTTTCAAGCTGATCAGTTTATTATCGAAGTCTATTCTACTATCAACTCAGGTGGCCTATCTAGAGCACACTACAAGGAGATTTAGGTGAAGAGAGAAGCGGTTAAGTATTCCAGCAGAATTATTTATGTTGAAAGCATATTACAAACAGATGGACATAAGAGAAGCGGCTAAGTCTTTTATATTAATGTCTTTCAATGGATTAAAAACTAATCAGTTAAGGTTTCTTCTTTAACTTATTACAGATTTGTTTTGTGAGGAGCATATTCTATATATATTTGGACACATTATGTACAGGGAGAGAAGCGTGTAAGAAGTTAACTGTAATGCCCTGATATCACCCCCAAATGGTGTTCAGTTAATTGGAGGCTATCTGGTAATTGCTGTACATGAAAATTGAGGGAGAATCGGGTAAGTACTCTACTTTTAAACCTCCCATCGAAATCAATTCAATAGATAGAAGATTAAGTAGGCTGTCTTATCTGGACGCATGTCAAAAATAAAAGAGGGTGTTTATAAGCTGACAAGAATGCGGCTATCATTAAGCAATAATTGTGAAATCTCTTATCGCCGTCGTTTGACAGAAACATTAAAAAAAAGAAAAACAAAAGGAAATCGGTTAGCCCTCGTGATAGTCGGCCTATGGAGAAATATGTTGTATTGTGTATACTTACAGCTGCTGCGACTGGCCGCCAGTTTGTTAAGGTGATTGTATTCCTCTTGGGCAAGATTGAGACGCTGCTGTTTGACATCGTACATCTCGCGTTTGTTCTCCAGTTGATCCTGTGCCGCGGACAAGTAGTCGCTGAGCATTTGCTCCTGTACGCTCTTCCACTCCTGGCGTGGATCCTCCAGCTGTGTGCTCTGCGCTATGTGGTTGATATAGTAGCGTCCAATATTCGAGTCGTACGCCTCCTCCCAGCCCACGGGCAGCTCATCGCCCACACAATCCTCAAAAGATTGCGGTTTTGTGTAGCTGCAAGAGGAATCAAAACAGATGCAGGTTAGCCATGTAGCCAGTGGTACGTGTATCTGGTTTTGACCCAAGCATATTTAGCTTATCAGCTTGTTTGCATAGAGACAACAAATCGCTAATGAATTTCCGTCGAGCAGATTTTGGTTAGTTTAGTTTTTTTTTAGCCCTATCTTAGATGTATCGTAACCTGTTTACTGTCTCTGTTCCCACGCCAGCTAATTGGAAGCGTTTCTCTTGGGCCCATTCGATAAGATTAGCGACAACTTTGTCTGGTATTTCCTGTGTTTGTGCATTTTATTTTTTTTTTTTTTTTCGGTAAAAGTGGGCAAAAAAAATATATACAGACACACTTCTTAGATTCTCAAATATTTACCATGCAGCATTAGCACTTGCCTAATGGAAAGTCTTCTCACTGCAGCGTTTGTTGTTGCCATCCAATGTGCCCGTAACCCCTTACCATCCCTATGCCATATGCTTTTGCCATATGTCTAATCTTATCGAGGTCGCAATTTTCCCGCTGCGGCAAAAGAGCTAATGACGATGACGTTGTCGTTGTTGTTATTGTTGTTGTTGTTGTTGTTATTGTCATTGGCTGTTGTCGTCGCTGCGGCTGAGCTTTTTACTTCTTATTTTTGTTCGGGTATTTGTTTGCGAAATTCAATTTCAATATCAGCGCAGACAACAACATTTTCGCATTCCAATGATAATTACTAATCTTCATAAATTAATTGCTCCAATAGGTACACACACACACACACACATTCGCTGTAGTATACACTCTGATAATGGGCTTCAATTGAAAAAAAATATTTGTTGTTTTCCTTAAGGCTGGCATATTTATATGATTTGTTAATTAATCATTGCTGTGGAATTCACGCGGCCATTTAAAGAGCAGCGCGCAAAAGGCGGCCCCGCGCGATAATAAAATGTGCGCCATATGCGCCACACACACGCACACACACACACACACACACACATATCGAGTTGTACATGTGTATGTTTATAGAGCATCTGTAGAGTCGTTGTACAACATGGGCTCAACAGTCCGACAGTTGCGCATTAAATAGGAATTTTCCAAGAATAAAACTTGTTTGACGCAGTAGCTGCAGCTAAGCGATTATGCGCCATAAACAAAAGTATCTGTGAGTTTGCGAATGTATCTCAGCTAGGGTTTTGCCTTAAAAGAAGCAACAATTTTTGCACATCAAGATATGTAAGCAATTGAAGCATTGATGAACATAACAAGTTTACAATAATTTAAAACTCTAAGAAGCTTGTATTTAAATCAAGTACAAGTGTGCTTAAAGACATTCTCGACTCCAGACATTTTTAAATACAGAAGTTCTCTAATAAAAGACTTAATGCAGAAACGTAAGAAATACAAATTTGTTGTTAGACTCATTTTAAAGCCTAATCCAAGCAGACATTTTTAATTGTTGTTAATCAATTAGAAGTAAAGAAAACAAAACTTGTGGAATTATATTTCGGCCATAATGAATAGAGTTTTTCTCCGAGTGTAGCTATATAGTTTGCTGACTAAGCAACAGATCGTGTGTCGCACATTCGACCCAGCTAAACAATCTTCAAATTCAAAGTCTGAAATAGAGATTCTTTAATTAAGCTGAGTTTCAGTTTGTCGATCAGTGTGGAAATATGTATTTATTTAAATTACTCTAATGAATCAGCGAATTCCATTCGCCTGTTTAATTTATGATCAGCTGATCATTAATAGCCGCAGCCAGTTGTGACGTATCTGAAGGGGACGACGTGCACTTGGTCAGGGACGCAAAAGCAAAACCGATTTGCTGTGGGCTTCTGGCGATAAGCAATCATTAAAATTGCATGTGTTTCACAAGGGTTCGATTTGCGTTTAAATAAAGAACAAATGGCATACAAAATGTGTGCCATATAAAAGTGCTTTGTTTAGATACAATAAAAAATCGGTCAGACGGATGGAGGGGGGATTATATAGCAGCTTGTGCAAACAGCAAAAAGTGCAGCCGTAAATAAATAAACATAAACACACTGACAAAATGTAGCCAAAGACATGTTCCAATCTCGGAACAGAGTCCAAGTCTGAGACTGACACACAAAACGATCTGGCGATCGACAGAACCTGACAGCGATGTCAACAAAGCACCCAGAGAGGAAGAGAAAACAGTGTGAGAGGGGGGCAAAGGGAGCGTGAGGGTTTCATAATAAAAAAAGCGACGAGCTCTTTTTTCATTTATTTATTTTCATTGGCTTTTCCACGTTAGGCAATGGCACACAGTTGATATCTGCTTGAATTACGATCGCTCATTTGTTTATTTTGCATGCGAGCTAACTGTGCAAATAAACATAACGATCGTCCAACTGAGACATCAATATCACGTACAGCCCTAAAGAGTATATATATCTATATATATATAGAGAAATATACATATGTATATTGACTGATATATATTGAATTGTTAACTAAATTCGAATGCTTGGGGAACTCATCTGCTGATCAGCTGAGCAGAGAGTATTTGATTATATATGTATTTATATATTTTATTCAATGTAATTTGTGTTCTCGTTTCATAGAAACATCGTTTGTGAATTCCAGCAATAAATTGGTAATCAACTATGATTTAAACTAAATTTAAGAATAAACGTTTTTCTTCGAGTGCACACGATTGGTTGTGAAATTTGAATAGTTTGCAAGTTATTTCGATTTCTGTTTCATAAACTCAATTGAGGTTTGCACAGGTGGCAGCAGAGCGTGCGGCAAACGCAGCTGGCAATAAAAAAATGTTACAAAAAATATAAGAAGAAAAGTTGCCATTTAATCAGCTTCAATGGGCGAAGTGCATGCAAATTTGGATGGGTTTCCATTAGCGCTTGAATTGGATTCACATTTGACCTCAGCGAGACCTGAGCAAATCAAAAATCAATGAATTGTGACGCGTGGTACGTGGTGTGTGGGGCGTTGCATGTATTGGCATCAAGTAATAGGGCTTCTTCTCAAGCCTCTTGACAACGAACTAACGAGCGACCCGTTGGCGTTGGCCTTTTAACAGTTGTTGGCTTAAGTAACTGGCTAACTGGCTAACAGGCGACCACTGAATGGTTAAATTGCCACAGCCCACATTAAACGTGGCGTTCGGCTCAAGAAAACTGCATAAATTAAATAATTATAAACAAAATATTTATGGCGCAGAGCGTCGTTGTATAAATTCGCGCTTTATTCAACAACAGAAAGAAAAAAAATATAGGTACACAAAAACAAGTTTCAGGCCAACAAAATATTTCAGCATGAATTTCGTTGTCACAATAGCGACAGCAACAACAACTATACAACTACAGTGAGGCATGGCTGAGCATGGCTGGCCAGCCAAGTGGTCATTGATGGTGAGGACAACAACAACTTTAACAACATGTTGTCATTAGGCAGCACTTAAATGAAATGCACACACGCACACACCAAAATGTACAACTACATATATGCAGATAGAGATACAGATACAGATACAGATACAGATACACGCACGCAGCATAGATACATTTGTTTAAACAAAATTATTTAACTGTTTACGACGCGTTTTATGCTAATTGGCCCGCTCATAAAACGTATTTCTTCCGAAGATTCTTTGCATATATATATATATATGTATAGTATTCATTTTCTAAGTGACTATTTTTGGCTTTATGTAAATGTTTTATACAAGTTTTGCATTTTCAAGTCTAGCTTACGGCTCGTGGAAACTTTTGTTTTCGGCAGCCTTGTGACAGAAAACATATTAAAGACGCCACAAAATTCTATTCTCTTTTATCTGTTCTAATAGTCGATCATTAATTCAGTTAAAGAATTTCCAATCGGCCTGGCCCGAACATCATTTACCAATTCAAATTCAATCAGGCATCACAGACAAAAACAGCAACAGGTAAAAAATAACAGTTGAAGCCGGTTTTCGAGCAATTTCGTACACATCTTTGGTCAACACAAACATTGGACTTGGAGTAGTTTTTTTTTCTTTGTGGGGCATCGAGTTATCTATCATCTATATGGATGTCGCTTGGGCTTAACCAAATCACGTAGTCACTGTCAAGTTCTGCTCTAATTGTTAACTCTATTTCTACGCTTGTTTTGTTTTTAACGGAACTGAGATAATAAACCATACGCTCTTCTATAAAGTACACACGCAAACACACACTTGGAACGCGACAAAGACAACGATTTCCGGTTAATATAAAAGTATAAATAAATATATATATATGTACACATAAACGACAATCACATGGCCCACTTGGCCGCAGCGCAGCTCGAAGATTAGAACAACATCAACAACAACTACAACAGCAGATTTTTATGCAAAAATCACAGCACACACATATCTACATAAACATTAAAGTCAATTTATCAGGCAGTCAATCGAACATCACCTTGACATACCTACATGTATTTATAGGTACGGGCCCCGAGTAAATATAAACAAAACAGTTGACGCAATTGTCTGAGTTTACGGCATAAGATATTACGTTATGGTCGTTAGGCATACGTAATATCGTATGATCGTCACCTGCTAAGATAACTAGGAAAATCAACGTATTAGAACATAACTATTGAAATGCACGATAAGTGTATTATTCATTGTGTAGAAGATCAAATATATGAAAAGTGTGCGTCATTTGTGGACATTTGCTCGACAATTGACAGGAATGTCATGACAGCCACAAAATCTTGGAATGCGAAGTTGATATGGGAAACTCCAAATTATCATGTGCCTGAGTTGAATAAAAGATCACGGAAAACAAAGATGGAAAAAATAAAACTTTTTGTAACTTATTTTTGAACAAAACTTACTACTCCATTTAATTGCCGTTTTAAGAAAATATCGGAAATCGACGGATAGGTAAGAATATAGCGTAAACAGAAAATGTCCGCTTGAGATACAAGATCTGAGATTATGAAATTGCTTTCAGATAATATATATCTAATGATGATCATTTTGAATGAGCTCTTATCGATATTCTCAAATTTAAAGCTTTAGATAAAAATGAAACGTTTAAATTAAGCATTAGATTTGATTAAAATATTTCTACACAAAGGTTGAATTGTACAATTTATTTGTACTTTCGCTAGATTTAAGTGTATTAAAACCTGAGCACATTTCTAAGATCGCACTTTCGATATCTATGCATAACTTCTAAAGAGTAGTTTTCTGCAGCAACATCAACTGAGATTATATAAAATGAGACTGTGACACACATAAATTAAATGAAATGGAATCTAGAGCAGAAATAAATGTTTTTTGTATTATTATCACATGTTTTTGCTGCTGGTTACTTGACTTGCTTTGGGTTGGGCTGGGATCGTTTCAGTTGACTCGGTCGCTTATCAGATACGCGTATAGAAATATTTAAGAGCTTAATCAAATTAAGCTATAAAGGTCGTACGTCGTTTTTATCTTATCGCCCAGCTGGTTGTTGTCGACTTTGTGTTGATGTGTAAGCATATCATAAATAAAAGAAGAAAAAAAAATGTGGAAAATAATATAACCCGGTATTGCTCTATGATTACTTTTTGTAGCTTGTTTCAAGTGTCGTTCACATTGAAATATTTCTCGCTTGCAGCCATTTTACTTGCTGTTGCCTCGAGCTGTGGCAAATTAAAAAGATATTAACTGCATTTCCTGTGCCTCATGACTGTCTATCACACTTTAACTTCCTTCCGGCGCACTTTTCTATAATTTTCCAACGCGGAGGGTCGCTGGTGGAGCTGATAAAAACGGAAACGAAAACGTCGCACTTCAAGCAATTTGGTGTGGAGCTTATCAAATGCATTTTACGAGCCGGCTCTATGCATATTTTTTATTAATTATTTCACAGAGTGCCTCAAAGTCAATGAACTGCGCATGCGTCAAAGCTATATTTTTCTTCAGCTTTTTTATGTGTTATACGTCTACAGACCTTCTCCTCGGAGATAAGCCTAAGGCATTTTCTGGCTATACTTTATCAACTATTAAGGTATTCCACAATCTTCTAAAAAGCATATACGTATATGGGAAGGAACACAGAGTGTTAGGTAGCGATATCTATAATATTTTTGTGGCTTTCTTTTAGAGACCCGATATCTACAGTTCGTAAGTGGGTGTCAATTACAGCGCTGAGGCGCTGGCAGAGGCACAGAGAAATATGTGTGAGCATAATTCGACCAGAGGCAGTGTATCGGCCAGTCTTGGAGCCATTTAAACAGCGTGGGCCGATGACATTAGTCACAGAGACGCTGGGAACTACATGGAAGACCCACTTATAGAGGCCCACAGACGAGTGACAGCTGGTAATAGCCAAGTTTTGTTGCTGTGGCCGCAGTCTTCGGCGCATTTAGCGCTCATTTCGAAATCACAAAATGTCTACCATAAATTCCAAAGTGAACAATTGAAATAAATTTTTGCGCAATGCGCAATGCCAACTGCATACAAATTAACTATTAAAAAATTCATAGAATTTATACACAGCCACACACACACACACACAGCAAACAAACATATGTGCGGAACAACAAAAGCGCCTACTTGGGGCAAGAATTCAACTCGCCCCACTCCCTTTTTGTGGCTCATGGCAAGAGCAAAGCAAAATAAACTTAAATTGAAATTTATGATATTTTATGACTTGTTGACGGGCATTATTTCGTTTTCTTTTCTTTTGTTATTGTTTTTGTGATTTTGGTTTAGATTCGGAAAAGCGTTTGTTTACTTTCAGCAGGCACTGTTCGAAATTCCAAAAACTTGCACAGCAAATGGCAGAAATAGCAAAAATAAGATATATGGTGAATTACCCAGAAAATGCCAATGAAATCTGAGGCTGCCTGTGGCCGAAATACCCTGGATCTATTAGCACTCTTAAGAGGGAGTATTGTTTATTAAAAACATGAAAACTTCAGATAAAAGTCAACCCTCGACAAAAAGATAAAATAGAAAAAATATGGTAGTGTTGCAAGTGGTAAATACAATCAGAAAGTCTTATGCTAGAATGAAGCCTAATGTCAATTCAACCTTTTCATTATTTATGTACAGGGTATTGCTTGTCGTGGACAGCTACCAAGTTATGCGGGCCAATAGACAAGGTGAACATTCTGATCGTCATTCGCTGTGCCATTGATCGATGAGCGCTTTGACGTCTTTGGATTCACATGTACACTTGTATATGTATGTATATGTACATATGTAAGTACGTGAATGCCCCCATGCATATGCTAATATGGACGACCATTTCTCAGAGGATGTAGGTATTTGCCAATATTTCACTGTAACAAGCATACGAAATTGCTTTTGAAATGCTTCTTCATACAAACTGCTGATGTTGTTGCTCGCTTTTGGGAAATATGCATACGGTATTCGGTACGTCAACAAAAATTCGAGGTATGCGCATTATAAAGCTTTAAATTCGACACGACAACTCGGAAACATTTTCGTGTCGTTCGAGACGCCCACATGGAACATGCCAAGGCACAAACACACACATGCCCAAATATTTCACACAAAATTCCTGCTAAATACTATACACATATGAACATTTAGCTGCTCTATAAAGAAACCTTGACAACGTCAAGAGCAAATAAAAAAAAGACAACAAACAAGTGCAAAGTTTGCTTTAAACATCTTGGCCTGCAAAGTGTCCACCTGTGCAGTTTATTTTCGCTGGCATTAGCCGATTCCCGGAATTCTTGAAGTAGCTGCAAATGGTTGCCACTAGCTAACAAGTCTCCAGATACATTAAGAGGTAAAAGATGTTTTTGTAAAAATTATGTGCAGGCTGTAGATAAATTTGTCCAATAGTATTTGCTGCGATCTTTGGCTTACATTAATCTACATATTTAATATCTGTTCTATAGCTCTATAGTCGTGTTATGTATCTCCAGATACATTTAACGGTAATATAGAATTGTACATAATGATAAGCAACCTATCAACTTTGGGTAGTGCGATCGTTCGCCTGAATTCGCCTGCTACTTGCATTTCAGAGTCCGTAGTTTAGTTTGCATGGAGTAAGTGTAATCTTTTTTTGAGAAAGATACTTCTGTTATGTCCAGTTAGCGCGATATTCTCTTTGCTTAAGATACATTTCGACCCAATAGATACTTGATACTAAATGATATGCAGTCTCGTTGATGTGATCGTGGGCCAGCCCGCTTCTAGCTCTATACTATAAGGTCTATAGTTCCCATCAGCATAACTATTGCCATTACCATAGCCATCATCGTTGTCGTCGTCGACGTCGTCGTCGTTGTCGTTGTTGTACTCTGTCATTAACAAAACAACTGTTGCGACCTTCACATACCAGAGCAGCCAAGCGACTGTGAGCCAAGCGAGCAGCCGAGCAGTTGAGCAGTTGAGCAGTCGAGTAGCTGAGCAGCAGCGCGCATGTGCACATACGTATGTAGATACTTATATATATACATATGTATACAAGCTTACAAACATATCATACACATGTGCATATATGTATGTATATATACATATATATATATATCGCATATTGAAATAATAATAAGGCGAAAAATCCAACTGAGAAACGTGAATGCGAATGCGAAACGCGAAATGACGACGACGACGCGACGTCAAAGTCTCAGACAGCAGTCGACAGCAGAAATTTGTTATATACTATATAGACTTGTATCTGTATCTGTAGCTGTAGCTGTATCTGCTGCTTGTATCTGATAGAATGTGCTCGTAATAATGCGCGAGTGCGCCGCAAAAGGGGAAGTTGCATTGTAAATATGACGAACGCTTTAAGTTGAGCTGGGGGCGCATTCCTCGCATAAGGTCGAGCGTATAACTGGGGAGGAGAGCACTATATTCACACACACACACACACACACACACACACACACACAAGCTGTGAGTTAGCTGGAAGCAAGTCTTAGTTTATTTAACTTATTTTCTTGCTGGGAATCCGGCCATGGGTAACGTCTGACAAAAAAAAAATAATAAAATGGGGAAAAAATTATAATTTCTTTGCAATTTCATTGTAAAATTCCAAAAGGAAGCGAATAAATATTTCTTTGGAATCGTATTAAATACAATTTTTTTGCATTTGCCATCTGAAAATATGCACAATTTGGGATTCGTTTATTTATTTTTTTTTTTATGTTGAACTTGTTTTCGCATTTAAAAATGTCTGTTAGCTAAATGCGATTTCATAATTTACAGCTGCCAATAAGAAATATTTAACAAATATATATTTCCACATTTCTGCAGCTAGACAATTTGATATATTGTTCGTAAATACGCTCACAAGTGCATAAAATTTAGAAAATACCCCCGTTTGCGAAATGAAGAGCACAAAATTCGCCCGCATGTGCATAGAATATTGAATTTATTTATAGACGTTGATCTGTTTGGAAATTCTCAGCGAGAAAGCGAAAAAAAAGAAGAAGAAATCAACAACAACAAAATTTAACCAATTATTTTATTTTATTTTATTTCATTTTTTTTTTGGGGGGTATTTTTCTGTGATATTGTGTGCGCACACTTTGTAGACAGTTTGGCAATTCGCATCACGGCCAAAATTATTTCAAAAATTTATTCATTAATTTCGGCTCACATATGCGTATAGTATATAAACATATTTTATTTTTGCTTTACATGCCAACGAGCTACAACCACAACAACAATACAATGGGCTTGAAAATACTTTTCGACAACTACAAAAAAATGCCAACAAGAATGAAAGCTGCTGACCAGAAAAAAATAAAAAGAAGAAAAATGCCGCATGTCAAATGGGCCAATTAACATTTCTGTTATTTGCTGCTTTTGTTTTCAATGTGGTTGTTGTTATTTTTGTGTTTTTTTTTTTCGTGTCTTTTGTTTATAAATAACGAAAAATGTTTTTGTTTAAGTTTTGCTGTATTTGTTATTGTTGTTGTTATTGTTGTTGCATGCAAAAATATTTGTGCGCTGTTATTTTTAACGCCAGGTCATAAATAAATAAATTATGCATGCATTTTGATAGCCCTCATGTTGCTTTTGCCTTGCGACCGCTTTCGGCAGCTAAGCTCGACGCATTCTTCTCTAATATTCTAATATTTTTTCTATATAAATATACATACATGAATGTGGCCGCAATAAAAATTCCTCCCGAAAAGAAAATTACAAGATTATTGTTTTCAATGTTTGCTAAAGATAAACAACAGCAAATATTGAAAAGAATATATATATATATATATAGACAGGCGGCGGAGAACGTGGAAGATTTCCAATTTTATGGTCAACGCTCGTGACATTTTAAGGAATTTACAACAAACTAGTTGTTATGTGGCCAGAACCAATTGATTTGAATACATATTTTAGCGTTCTCCAGCTGAATACGAATATCTTATTAAAAGTAGATGAGTTTGATACAGCAGCGATAAGGCTAGGCAGAGCTTGAACTAGAGATCACATGGCAACAGCCCCACAGCAAGAATCTAAGAAATATTTATGTAATTTTAGTTGCAATATAAGAGATACATTCAGATACATTCTACAAAACGCTTGAAAATTAAAATTACAATAGACACTCCATGGGGTCTGCGTACAATTATCAGATACATGTTGAAGTATCTATTAGAACAACACACAATTCAAATGGAAGTAATACATTTAGGAAAAGATGTGTAGTCTTAATGACATTTGAATGTATCTTACATTTTCGATATACATTCAAGCAGCTAATTGAGCTATGCATGCTGCAGCTTTTGTTGGGCATAGTTGTTGTTGTTCAACGAGCAAAAATGCACGACAAATGAGACAAAATATTTCTAATCAGCAGCAGATGTACTCGCTGCAAACACATAGTTACATACACATGTGTCCACATGTAGGGTTATGTGTGTGTGTGTGTGTGCGTGTGTACGCGATCATTTACTCCAAAGCAAACAAATAAACAAACGCACAAACATACATAAATAACTATAACTCGTTGCAGTTGCAGCAGCAGCAGCAGCAGCAGCGACTGTTGCTGTTCCCTCCAGCAAAGCAACTCACACAGTTACTGAAACACACAAACACACACACGCGCACGCCAGCAGCAACTACGTCGCGCCGACTGCGCAGCGGCAGCGGCTCAGGAATGCGGTTTTGACAAGTTCTTCTAAAATTGTACGAGCAACTTTGCTATTTACGCTATGAAACGACGACAACAACAACAGCAGCAACAACAACAGCGGCACCAACGAAGAGAGCGGCAACGAACGAGTGTGCGAAGGAGCGCGGAAGGCAAAACAAGCAAGAATGCAGTACACTTTAGGGGATACTGAATAGCTAGCATACCCTGCAAATAGGTGTTGACTTAAACAATAAAGAATAACGAATAAAAAATAATTAATTGTTTGACTACGTACATAAACATATTTACTGTGGTTAATATTGAAGTTCAGCATGTGGAGAGAGTATTTTAAACAATTTATATTAAGTATTATATTATTATTGGCAGTATTTGTTTACACATCTTACAATGTGCAGCAACTATATGGCCCATTGTCAGCCTTTGAGTGCAGGGTATTTAAGCGAGCGGCTAGCAGTGGGAGCGGGCACACGGCATGGCGTTAAAGACGCAAACGGAGAGCAAAGAGGCAACAACAACAACAACAACGGCAGCAACTGTTGAACTGTTGTTGTTGTTGTTGTTGCTGTTGTAAAATATTTCAAAGTTGCAGTGAACTCGCAGCAAGCGCGGCACCAATTGAATGCAATTTGTGCGCCTGTATGTGTGTGTGCGCGCGTGTGTGTGGATGCATTTATTGAAGCAATGCGCGCATTGCCTTAAATGCCAACTTACTACTATTTCTGCTGCCATACTACGCTACGCCCAGCTTTTTAGTTCTTATTTATGTATGTATGCAGCCTTTGTATGTTTGTATTTAGCAAGCTGCACACGAGTTGCAACTGGCAGCGGTATACGGGGGAGATAGTCAGACAGACAGAGATAGATAGAGAGAGGGGGGAGGGGGACAAGCCGCGGAGTTGCTTTGACATGAATGTCAGCTTTGCGCATTTAAGCAGTTTAATCAACATTTTTTTTTTTATTTCTTTTTCTTTTTATATTCGTTTTTATGCTGCTGTCTTCTAAGACGCGGCTGCCAGCAGAGAGAACCGGAGCCGGTTTGTTGGCCATTTCATGCATGCAGCTAGGCCCCCCCGCCCCAGCCGTCTCTTCCAGCCCGTACACTAGACATGGCATGGCATTCTATGTGCTGCACTTGAGTGCAAGTATCTGTAACTGCAGCTATAGCTAGCTGATGCCGCATGTATCTTTCTGTCTATATATGTTCTCTACATGCATGTGTGTGTGTGTGTGTGCTGTCGTCGTTGTCGCTGTCGTTGACTGCAGCACGTCGCGTATTCTATGCAACGTTCAAATGTGATTGCACTTTTCTCAACTTTGCACCAAAAATACAAAAAAATAACATGACCAGTTGGCGCTGTTTTGGGGCTGAAAGTGTTGCGCGTTGATGCTGACCTACAAACCAATAAATTCCAGCTCAAGTATCTGTGGAATGCAACCGAAAAGAAGAAGCAGAGAGGAAGCTGAAAGCTGCAAAAGAAAGAACAAGCAGCAGATCGCGCACAAAATGAATTATGCTTCGCTGTGCTAAACATTTTGACAGCGGATTGGGCAAAGCCAAAGATTCAACTGCTGCTACAGATACAGATACAGATACAAAATACAGCTATAGCTTTTTGGGGCATTCGAGGAATGCAGGCGAGAGACGACCTCTGTCTGGTTTTGCCTTATCACTTCATTAGGCCATAAATTCGACAACAAAGCATGAGCACAGAAAGCAGCATGAAAAATTCCACAGCGCGTGTTTTCTTCCTCTTCTGTTAATTTCATGCATTTTTTTATTGAGTAGCAGCATCAGACAGATACACAGTTACAGCAGCAGATACATTGTGGCAGAGTTCTGCCTGAAGCTGCTGCTGCGTCTGCTCCGCCTCCGCCTTCGCCACCGTCATGTTAATTATGCAGCATGCGCTGCATGCATCCACAAGATACAGATACAAATACGAATACAAATACGAATACGAATACGAATACGTAAACGCGTGCGCAGAGCCATAAGCCTACACTTCATTCTCCAGTCTCGCCCAGATACGAACTTAAGAATATGTTACGCGCACTCAAATGGCATTCGGAAAGTGCTACTGAAAAAATAATACAAAAGATTCGTGCGTCCAACAAAAGAAACACAACGAGATAAACGTGATGGAGCAGAGGAGACGAGGGTAGCTGAGCTGAGCTGAGCTGAGCAGCATGCAGACTGTATCTTTTGGAATGTCTTTAAGCTGTTGTTGCCTGCACTTCCTCCTCTCCAGCTGCAGCTCCATTTTCGTCTCCATTTCAGCTGCTGACTGCGGCATTGCCCGGCTCTTTGGTGATCGCATCTCATAAAGTGAGCTTCGGGCTTGGACTCTGGCAACAGCTGATTACAGCGAACGGCAGCGCCTGATTAGGGCAATTAATTGCCAGCGATTGGAATGCGCAGCGCACCCGATCCCACCCCACCTCCATCTCCACCTTCGCCAAACTAAGGCAATGGCATGCCAAGCAGATCTGCAACACATGGCGCACATGCCAATTGTGGCTTGGTATGTTATGGTAAGGTATGTGACTTGGGTTTTGGATTTGGGTTTGGCTCAAGGAGATAGGCTCGCTGCACAGATAGGAACATTAGATCAAGTTAAAAGAAATATTGAAATAGTAATTGCTCTCTCTGGTAAAGAATTCATTTTAAATTATTTAAGGAATTTTATAATATTTTTAAAGAAAATCTTATCTTATGCTGTGCCAGTTAATACCCTCAATGTGCTTCAATATCAGGAAATGCTCGGGCATATGCCTATATGCCTGCATATATTTTAAGTCTCTGGTTACATATATTTTGGGTCTGTCTGTCTCCTTCCGCTTGGAAAACAAACAACAACAACAACAACAACAAAAATGCCATAGCAACTGCAACAGGCATAAACAATGCAAAAGTATCTCACAGCAATTTATCTTGAGTATGCACATTCCTGCGCATGTTTCGTTTCATTTCACTTGAGTTTTTTTTTTTTTGCCCCTCTTTTGTTGTTGTTGCTTGGTTTCTTTGCTTTATTATTTTTCATTTCATTGCATGCATGGAAAATTGCTACCTTTGCAGGCCAAGCTGCGGGCATACAAACGCATATATCACGATCACTCAAGAGCCCAGCTCAGCACATGGCAAGGCCCAAAATGTCGACGAATGCAAAAAAGAAAATAAATAAATAAAAAGCAAGGAGCAGTTATATAAGGAATGCCGAAGTTGAAATACCCTTATAAAATATTTCTATTTCGAGCGAAAGCTATATTATATGCTGGTTCGATCTGTTCAACTGTTGCCTGCTGCTCAAATACAGATCTTTATATTAAATCCTAGATGCATTCTCCTCCTTATCGCTATAAACCTCATGACGCACCTCTAATACCCTGTGCGAGGGCATAAGTTGGTAGAGAATCGCCTGCGGAACGCGCAGTTTAAACAGCTCGAAATCCAATCCACAGCCACAGCTAGAAACACAGAGACAGAGTCCGAATCAGACTCCGGCTCAGGAGACAGCGCCTCCGTTGGAGCCTTAGCTTGAGGAGACGGGACCCATGGCCCCTGCAAAAAGGGGCAACTTAATTTTCTGCTCACGTTTGCAGTTTTGCAGTGCGAGGCGAGTGAAAAATTGGCCAGCTGCGGGAATGACAGCTGAATTATTATAAATCGATATGGCTAGAATACTGCTAGTGCCCACTGTAAAGAGATCGAAGCGATCAGGCAGCAATATTTGCTTTCAGCTGGGAACGGAGCTGCTTTTCAAGGGTAATGCCACGGCGAGCGGCTCTTAATTAGCACATGTTGAAAAGGAAATCATTATGCCTGATAAAAATCACAAGTGTTGATTGCCACAAGTGAGGATAAGGAGGACGCTGCGAGGGGGCAGGAGAGCCAGACGGGGTGGGATGGGGCAAGTCGGTAGTCAGCAACAAGTGCGAGAGAGTTGACAGGAAAAACTCACAGATCGAAAACACAGATCGCAGTTGGCTTGTTGGCAGTTCGCAGCTTGCAACTGGCAACTTGCAGCTTGCAACTTGCAACTGGAAGCGAAAGAAGACAAAAAAAAAGACAGCCGCTAAAATGGGCAAAACATGCAGCGCGACTAGCAGCGCACTTATGTATCTGCCAGCTACATTATGTATCTTCTATCCATGCATGTGGCATGGGGCATGTCGCTGCCCGTTGCACGTTGCACGTTGCACATTGCAAGTGCAAAGAAAATATTTTTTGACGCTTTAGGCCGCTGCAAACTAGAAAATGTTGTTGCTGTTGCTGCTCCTCCTGCTGCTGGCGACGTCGCGCGTTGCATTCATGCGCGTAATCAAATTGTAATCACGGCTTGGACGAGGGCAGGCAACAGCAACAGCAGCAACAACAACTGCAACTGCAACAGCAGCTTTTTCTTCTTGTTGTTGTTGTTGTTGTTGTTAAGTGGAAATACTTGTTGCACAAATGCAATGCGGGCTGCCGCTGCCGCTGCTGCTGCTGCTGTGTATCAGCAACTGTACAGTGAAGCCCCGTGAAATGCAACTGCAAAATTGGAGCTTAACAAAACTTCAATTCACATTTCATATAAAAGGCATGTATAGGGTATAATCGCGCAGATTTTTAAATAAATAAAATAATAATAAATACAAGCACAATTTAAATAATTAATATGAAAAGAATTATTAAAAATTAAACCTTTTGAGAATGCATTCAAGGGTATTTCTCTTTCGGTGTTTGCAACAGAAAGTTTTACTTTTTTCTTGACTCTGTTGTTGCAATTGCTGTTGTTGTTGTTGTTGTTGTTGCAATTGCCTTGTGCAATTTATTAAATGAAAAATGCCGTTTTGCAGCTTTCCAAGTTGCATTGCCTGCATGTTTCTCTCTTCCTCCCTCTCCCTCTCTCTCTCTCTAGCTCTCTTTCTCTCGCACTGCTCGTGTGTGTGTGTGAATTGGCTCTGGCATCTTTTGCAGCAACCAAATTGAATTTTATGCAAATTTTACTGTTTCTGCTCTGGCAAGAAAAAAAGTTGTAAAAAAATCGCCACGTCTAATGCATAATGGCACGCATGCTCCACACACACTCGCACACTCGCACACACACACACATAGCTGTGGCATTTAGCGGTTTTTATGCAATTGCCAACGTTGCGCCAAGAATTAGAACGCTCCATTTGAGATACAGATACGCATATCGGTCAGATAATTGACGTTAGCTCTGCTGCATTGCCCCCCCCCCCCTTACCCAACCCTCCTCTCTTCACACCCCTTAAACAAATGACCGCTGGCCGCTGGCGCCACTGCGTTCGACTTTTATCATAGTTAACCAGCGGCCGCTTTCGCTAGGCCCATTTTGGCGGCGTAGTCAATAACGATTTTTATGTAAAACAAACGAGTTCGAGCTCGAATCCGAATCCGAATTCGAATCGACTATCATAACCGGTAGCCGTGTTGTTGGGGTTGTTGTATTGACTGCTGTTACAATGGATCCCCTGATAATATGTAAACCCTCAATCAACAGATTTCAGCTAGGCTAAAAGCTGATCCATGGGCTCATATGGATGACTGATGATGGCAGCTTTTGAAGTTTCATAGTTTGTTAATGTTTTCTATTTCTATGTTTTCACAATGATCGATGAAACTGTCGACAGACTGTCACCAGACGAACCAAAAAGACGAAGCAAGATCCATGCTTTACAGTTCATTCGAAATATATATATGTATGTAGGAAAAAATTCCACTGTGCCGCTGGGTTGGGGCAAACAATTGGCCGAAACTGGCCAAAAACGTTATTAGCATGGCCAACAGCGACGCTGACGCAGGCGTCTTTGACTTTTTGTTTATAAAAAAATGAAAAAAAAAAAAAAAAACGAATTAAAGAAAAAGAAAAAAACAAAACTAAAAAAAAAACGCCCGTTGAAAAGTTGTACAGACAAGTGAAATACACAAGTATTTCAATACACTAAGTTAGAGTTAATCGACTTGGCTGAAATGTTGGTAACACCTAAAAAAGATCTTCATATACATAATTTACACATAACATCATTTTTCTCTAGACGCTCGTATTTGTCAGTTGGACTTGGTCACATTTGACAAAACTAAAATCAAAAATACAATAATTTGTAAATTGAATTGATTGATCGATCGAAATATCTACTCAATATTCATCCAGGTGCCTACATATTTTCAAAGGTATCCCCAGTTCGGGCTTGCTTATCGCCGTGCTGGGATTTCTGTTCGCCCCGAATGGGCCCCGAGGCCTGGCTCGCTTCGCCTCATGGTATAAATTTATTTATGGCTTATTGGAATTTTTGCGCGCTACCGGCAGCAATTTTTAAAATTCAATAACAGCTCGTATGCCGGCAGAGCGAGATAGCACTAGTGTGTGTTAGAAAGACGGCGGACACAGCCATAGAGAGCGAGAGAGAGAGAGAGAGAGAGAGATAGCGCAAGATGGGACGATATACAGTATGTCAATAAAGTGTTTTGACTAACGAAAAAAAACTAATTTTTTGGGTTTAGTTGAAAATAAATGTACCTAAAAGTGAGAATTTTTTTTCAATTCTAATTTATTTCGATTCTATATTTTTCCTAGAACTTAATGGCAAAAAGAATTGTTAAATAACATTACCCAAACATTTTATAAAATTAAAAAACTAAAAACATTCAAATTTTATGCTGTCAATAAAGTGTTTTTACACGAAACTTTATTACTAAATAACAATGTTAAAAAAACAGGAATATTTTTTTTTAATACTTTGTGTGGCTGCCATTAGCGTCACATACAGCCTGCAATCGCCGTTTCATTGAAACAATAAGGTTTTGTATGTATGTTTCTGGAATCTTCTGCCATTCTTCCAGTACAGCAGCTTTTAAATCAGTTTTTGATTTTGGACTCCGCTTTGCGACTTTTTTTTTCAAATATGACCACACATTTTCTATTGGATTCATATCTGGACTTTGTGGTGGAGTGTCTAACACCTTTCCACAGTTGTACAACAGCCAAACTCTTACCATATGAGCTTTATGCTTCGGGTCATTGTCCTGGTAAAATTTAAAAATTGGCTTATTGTCCTCATAGAATCCAAATTTCTGTGCACTACTGACGAGATGTGTCTGTAAAATGCTCAGATATTGTCTAGCATCCATGGTATTCTCAATGAAGGTCAAATCTCCTACACCCTTGCTCGAAATACACCCCCACACCATCACTGATAGTTTTCCGAATTTAACGGTTGGAATAATATTGCGGTTTTCCAACGCTGTTAGTGGCTTTCTCCAGACTCTGGATGGCCCATCGTTGTAGAATAGCATCATCTTGCTTTCGTCACAGAATATGACGTTACTCCAAAAATCGTTCGAACTATTTACATGGACTTGAGCGAACGATAGCCGCTTCAAAATATTCGCCGCCGATAGTAGAGGTTTTTTCCTGGCAACTCGTGATGTGTAGTCATTGGAATTCAGTAATTTTCGGACAGTTTCATGTGACACATCAACACCACTTTCTTCCTTGAACTCCTGAGCAATATCCCTAAGCGAAATTTGTGGATTTTTCTCAATTTTTCTCAGAATTTTTCGCTTATCTCTGTCAGAAATTTTGCAGGGTCGACCACATACTGGCTTTGCCTCTAGCCTATCTTCCTTATTGGCTCTGTTTAATATGTTGTATATCGTTGCTTTTGATAAATTAAACATATCAGCCAGTTCCGAGACTTGACGTCCCATCTGATGGTTATAATACACCAGCTGAGCGACTTCAAAAGTTGTTCTTTTTCCTGGCATTTTATTTTTCATAAAATTAAAGCAAAACGTTATAAATTGCAATAGAAAATGACAAGAAAAGTCGAAGACACAAGAGAAGCCAAAACGCATGGGCCCAAATCTAACGGGATCACCCAAAAGAGAACGGCAAAACAATTTACCGTAGCTGTAAAAACACTTTATTGACAGCATAAAATGTGAATGTTTTTAGTTTTTTAATTTTATAAAATGTTTGGGTAATGTTATTTAACAATTCTTTTTGCCATTAAGTTCTAGGAGAAATATAGAATCGAAATAAATTATAATTGAAAAAAAATTCTCACTTTTAGGTACATTTATTTTCAACTAAACCCAAAAAATTAGTTTTTTTTTGTTAGTAAAAACACTTTATTGACATACTGTAATTGTGGCAAAAATATGCGAAACGTGCAAAATGCCAATAAATGAAAGCAAAAAAAAAAAGCATACAATAAATACTTGATGGAACCACACACATATTTGTTGGGGGGAATTTTTGTGGGGAAAATATAACGTTCGTTTTGTGGTCAGTTTTACTGGATAATAAAGATCCATTAAATGGAGAAGTGAGGGAATGAAATATCCCGTTGGCACAGAAATTTGGTATTTTCAAGGACTTTTGCCACTGGAAATCGCGCCACATACTCATCAGCTAATCTCGTTCTTATTCCAAATGAAATCTTGGCCATTTTCCACTTGGCACATGTTTATATATGTATTAATGTATATGTATCTGTGTGTATGTGAATATATCGAGCTGATGCATAACCCTAACAAATGCGCAGATGTTTCATTTCATTTCTCAAGCAAAAACGTATAGCAACAAAACAGCGAAAACAAAAATTCCACAACGCTTTCGGTTTGTTTAATTCAGTGAAACATTTTGAACAATGTCCATGCGATTTGAAACAAACAAAGGGAATGTTTGTGTTAATTGAAAGCGTGAAGCACAGCTACAGACACACGGTCAGACACACACACAGACACACACACACACGCACACATACACATGCATAGAGCAAAAGAATTTGAGAAATCAATTATTTCGAAACTGCAAAATTCCTACATACATTTGCAATTGTTTATGGTAAAAAGATAGCAAAGCAAGCGAGCGGGAGAGCGAGAGCGAGAGCACCAGCTGGAGAGAGGGCACAGCAAAAAAATGTGAGCGAACGTCGAGGCGAAACGGCAAATGGCTAAATGCTCATGGGGCCAACTAAAATGTATCTATGGCCTGATGTGAACGTCGCTAGCAGCGCCGCACCCCGCCACTCCACTTCTCCATTCTACACACCATGCGATCAGACAACTGTGCCTATTGCAGCGCACACACGCTCTCTCTCTCTCTCTTGCTCTCTCTGTCTCTCTCCCTCACTGTGGTTCAGTTTGTATGTGTGCGTGTGACATACACTCTACACACACAACTCTACACATTACGTATGAGGGATTTTTAGTTTTGCTTGCCTTTTATTTTGTTTTACGTCGTTTTTTTTTCTTTTTTTTTTTTGCGGATCATTCGGTGAGCTTTATTTAACTTTTGCTCTCTCTCAGCTTGGCCCCACGCCCCGGTGCCCCCTTCACTGCCCAGCCCCTGCCGCCGCGCCTTGTTGTCTGTGCTGTCGCCGTCGCTCGCTGTGCCGTTCGCCTTGCTGTACATTTTTTTTGCCTGTTTTTTTTTTTTATTTTTTGTTTTACATTTCAGTTTTTGTTTGTTGCCGTTGCTTCAGTTGAGTTCAGTTATACTTGGAGTCTTAATCATCGCATTGGAATGTTTACATGCTCAAACTTATTTCTTTTTGTTTCTGAGTTGATTTTTTTTCGTTCGCCCTGTTAAAATATGTAATTTATTTCGCTTTTATTGTAGTCTGCTTGCTGTTGCGGTTGCAGCTGCCGCGGTGCCTCTGACTTCTTGCCGCATTCCAATGCACACACACACACACTCACACACACGCAAATACGCACGCACACACATGCGCTGGCAGATGCGCAACGCACCTTTTCTTTCCGGTTGGAGCTTGAATTTATATGGGTTTTTTTTGTTTTGTTTTAAAAGGCTTCCTTGACAAGACGTCTCTATAAACTACATACATATACATGTGTGTGTGTGTGTTTGCGTGTATGTATGTATATATATTATTCTGATGGAATTCTTACCGATCTCTGGGATCCAGCCATGTGGTCTTTTTGTTGATATGATCTATGTAGTAGGTCTTGCCGTCAAAATCCCTGGCAATGTCCCAGCCCTCCGGCAGGGGGAATTCGCTGTGCTGTCCAGGCTGCTGTTGATGATGATGATGCAGATGATGATGATGATGATGTGGATGTGGTTGTGGATGCTGTCGCGGCTGCTGCTGCTGCTGTTGCTGCTGCTGTTGATTCGACATTTTGGCACAAAAAAAAAAAACTTGTCTGTCACTTGGCGCGCGTTTTTTTCTTCTCTTTTTATTTTGGCTTTTCGGTTTCTCTTGTTTATGCTATTTGTATTACTTTGCCTTGTGCAATGTACTACATATATACAACAACATACTTCCACGGACGCGATGCACGATAAGCGAGCGTAGTTCGCTCAGCGAATGGTAGAGAGAGAGAGAGAGAGAGGCAGCTAGCAAGGCGCGGGCGCGCGCTCTCAATTATTTATTTACTTTTTTTTCATAGCTGCATTCCATTCCAGCACACACACACACACACACACACACACTAGCCCGCGTACGCACACACAAGTCACACAAACGCAGACAAAAACTCTCGCGCACGACGCGCCATACGATCACTTTGTTGTTGTATGTATAGTTGTCGATGCTGCTGCTGCTGCTGTTGTTGTTGTTGTTGTTGTTGTTGCTGCTGCTGCTTCTTCTTCATTCACAAGTCACACAAAACTGACTGCAATCGAAATGTTGTTTTTACTTGTTTGCTAGTAATGCTAGTAATTAAAATTAATTAAAAAATAATCCAGCGTTTGTTTATTTTTCGAGTTTGAAACGCGGCAGCAACCGTACCGATAAATATCAATTAAAACGTTTGACGAGTATATTATTGCTTGGGTTTCTTATAATAACTTATTACGGACACATCATTTTCTTAACAATGCGCCTAGTTTCGATTATTTCTTGCATTTAAACTGATATACTATTTAGGCGACCGCAGAACCAACCGCACACTTCAACAACACATTCTACAATAACAAAATTTATGTTACCCAACATTGTGGATGGGAACACTTTAACAGCAATTAGCCTAACAGAGCCATGTTAAACTAACATTATGTTCAAATAAATTAGTGCCTTGCTGCAATAGCACATATTGGCACTGTTACCAAACAGATCCCACTTAAGGGACCGCATACTTGCGTCGTATAAAAGGCAAAGGCAAACAAAATGAACTTACTAATATAACTGTGAAATAAACAAATGAATACATTAATAGTTAAAGCGCTGTTTGCCGAATTTCATCGCAGCTGCCGTTGGCGTGTGGAGCAATACTGTTATGTGTGGAGCAAGGTTTTCGTTGAGTTGCTATCGTTATATTTAGACTCGCGTTAAGTGAGGAGCACTCGTTAAGTGTGGAGTACTGTAGAGTTGCGCAAAGAAACAGAAACGAACACTTGGTAGCGCCAATTACATAATGCAGTGTTCATATCTTGTGGCAACGCCAGCTATATGTGAATCATTAATTTAAATTGGTGATAGAATTTGCTATGACTTATGGATACCCTGTAGACAGTGAAAGGGGCGCTACAGCAGCAACAAAAGCCAACAGAACAAAACGAGTTAAACAATAACAAGCTGAAATATTAGAGAATATGACAATGAATAATGAAGACAACTTTGTTCTTCACTTTGAAAAATTTTATGAACCTTTCTTTGTTTCGCGCATTTGTTGTTATGCCAGTCGCAGACTTTGTTATTATTTCATCTTATTAGGGGCAACTGCACTTTGCAACACTGTTTTTAATGAAATGTTAATTAGTTTTCACAACAGCGCACCTTTTAATGTGCTCACACACACACACATACACACACATGTGGGTGTATAAATGTGTGTGTATGTGTGTTACTTACAAACTTTCGAGCACAATTCCGACCGAAGACAAGTTCAACATTTTCCCATTTACGCCAAACACAAGTCTGCCACTCTCTACTTCTCTTTCGCGCTCTCTCTCTCTCTCTCTCTCACTCCAGCCCACTCTCACTTGCTCCTTCGCTCGCATTCATTTGCCACCTATCGCCACTTTCACTTTGCGCTGTCGTCGCTTTCGCTGCGCCTGAGCCGTTTTAATCAGATAAGGCACAAGGTGGAGCTGCCAAAGGGGACACGCCCACACACACACACACACACACACACACAAACAGACACAAAGGTCGCTTGTTACGATTTTTGCGGTCTGCTAAATCATTCGGAAGAAGAAGATGAAGCGGATAATATGAAAAACAAAAACAACAACTTGCAAAGGAAGATTTTAACGCAGCATACTCTATTTTTAATATAATTTTAAAAATATTCAAAATAATTAAAGCTGTGTTTGTCTAGGCTAGATCGTTGCAGCTAATAAAGCCTAATCAAAGTTTTCCAACACCGAAGAATGAATGCCCTTGTAGACACTTGCTTTGCGGTCTTGCAGTAATCTGAGCATAGTGAAGCTCAGTTTTGATATAAATATCTTGGAATACGTAATTTTTACACATACACGAATATTCCTTCATTCCCAGATGATATAGTACAGTAAAACCTGCACATGAACCTGACTTTCGACCGCTAGTTTCATTGCCAGCTATACGATATATTGGCTCGATCCGGCCGGTTCCAATATATATATATCTACTGGCTGCAAAGTTCCTGGACGATAGCCCAAATGCTGAGAGACAGTCGGCGAGACTTGGCTTTATCACTCGACTTAACTCGTCTGTTATTGCCGATCTGGACTGGGATTAGAGATGTCTATGCGTTACACATTTCATGACAAAATCATAATACCCACTAAAAGAGTTGATTTATATTTTGGTGATAAGAGTAGATTCAGAAATATCGAGAATTAGAAACAAGAGATATAAGAATGAAAATAGAAAAGAAATTATTTCAATAAATGTGCAGATATTTTGATGTGCTTATCTTAGATTAGTTGATCAACAAAAACCCATCTCTCAATGTATACTCTATAATATCTAATTCGATACTCTGTTCACAGTGTATAAGGTGTATATTGGCTTTGTGTGCTGCACCCACGTATGAAATGAAATTCATGTCAAAAAAGTGCCTTAAGTTATATAAAGTTGCAATTCGCGAGCGACCACTGTATTGAGGCAGGAACTGGAATAGATTGTGAATGCTGTGATCCCGAATCGGATAATAAGCCTATGATAAAGGGATAAATCTATGCTTAGCAAAGGGTATGCGATCGGTCAAAGGTGTGCATAAATCATAATTAAATGCCTGCGCGTATGCAATTAAGCCAGAGCTTTAATTTATGCGTCTGTCACAATCCCAACAACTTTTCAACCAACATTATCAACCTCAAACACGGTGCAGTTGCAGGGTGCCAGCAGCAGGTGGGCGAACGTGCGCTCAGCTAAAAGCTATGCTACGATAAGCGTTCGTCGGGCAGAGCAACTTTCTCTTCATGGGAGAAATGCAAAAGGAAAAACGAAAAAAAAATAGCAACTGAAATTAATGACACAAGCAGGCGACGGGCACATGCGACCCGTAAACCAATAACAAGAGTAACCGGAAAGTTGGCAAACACACATGCAGCATGGGATGCAGCTTGGTGAGGAGTGGGGGGGGGGGAGGGGGGGAGGGTAGGTACGGTGGCATGCAGTTGGTAAAGTGAAACTTGAGTCCGACGGGACGGCACCTGACCAGATCAGGGTCATAATCCGCTTGCCCAAATACCAACAAACGTATCAACAACAACAACAACAACAACAACAACTGCAACTGTCGGACCATCAACTTCGACTGAAGCAACGTACCGTAAGCGGAAGGTCCTCTACACTCGAAGAAAAGAATGCCCAACAAGATGAAAACATTTACTAAAAAGTGTGACTTGAATGGAAAACTTCTCGCTCTCGCTCTCGATATTACATTTTTAGCCTTGTATTATAATTTATATTAGGCTATATCGGGATATAGTATATCCGTCTATCTTTTTCTATGCGAGCTAGTCTCCTAGTTTTAGCTTGAAGAGCTTTTTTGATTCTCAAGATATTTTAGCCAAACTCGCCATTTATAAGTATCACGATGCTTCCTATATCTAAAATCTGATTGGCATCCAGCTCATATATTATACAGGAACGATCGGTCGCTGAGTAGATTTTGATGTGGCAAAATATTATGTTGTCCAAGATATTTAGAGATAATATTTCCATTTTCCAACTTGTACGTACATTTTAAGAGCAGAACAGAATGGGGCAAGGCTAATTGGATTATATTCAACGGAGCATAAAACCACAGAATATTTAAACCGAAGTAGAGTCTTGTTTGGCCTGGACTCGAATTCAATTTAAGCCAATTTCGCACTGTTCTAGGCAATTAATTTTTTTGGGTGTAGATTTGAGCGTGTCGTGTGGTTTGTAGGGGGTTGGGGGTGGTAAGGTTCAAGGGTGGGCAAGTCTGGGATTGCGACAGTCGATACCAGTTGGTTTCCATTTGCTGCAGGCCCAAATCTAGCGCTGGCTTTGGCTTTGGGCTCGTCCCGGCCACAAATCGTTCACTAAAACCCATTTTGGCTTCGGCCATGCCCCATGACACGCCCCTGAGACTGCAGTGTCCCATGCGTCATGTACCCAGGCACCTCTCTGGTAGCATTGGCGAGCGCAACAAATTAGATTTCGGCGCAGTTTCCATTTCGGCTCTTGCGGCTAGAGTCGAGTGGCCCTTGCCCTTACCTCAAAAACAGAATATAACAACAACAAAAAAAGAGAGACAAGTAAAGCCTTGTCCCGAATCCAAGGTGACATCGACAGACCCAACGCACCGCACCGCAACACAACGCAGTCGGAACATTTTAAAAGCATCTTCATCATAAATCCTTCAAATTGAATAAGAGTGCTGGTGTGCAGAGGTCAACGACTAGCCTATACCCTGACTCAGAGATAATCAGCTTATTTAATCCATAAATAAATAAAATTCCACATATTGCCTTACCTTATACAAGGCAGGGTATCCATTAGCCTAAATTTTGGCTAGATGAGAGCGCACATGCCACAATTGTGGACTCTGGCTCTCAAATCGCCCCAGTTCCCAGAAGGACCGAGGCACCACCAAGGGATCTGCATGAAGGCACTTGGCTGAAAGGACTTGACTCTTCACATATATAAATACTTTATAGCTAGTGAGATGCCCCACTTTGTTATGAGCCGCTTTGCGACTGAGTACGGGGTATAAAAATGCTGTAGCCACACACACACACACACACACACAGGCCAATATACATATATATTTATATATTTATATATATACTTGATATGCAGATATTTATAAACAATGTTCGTTTGGCACAAATTTAGTTTTTGCCGTTGTTCCATACCCATTGTTAGAGGATAAAAGAGGGTATAATGATTCTTGTGCAAGTGTGTGGAACAATCGAAAGGTGGCTTCTCTAGAGAAGGAACGTTTCATGTATTGTTGTCCGGCTGTCGCTATCTATGAAATGTATTCTACAGAGATTATAAGTTAAGTATATCTTTTCTATAATAACACACTCCACTTTTCCCAAAAATTGTCGTGTGCCTTGTGCTCTGGCATTTGGCACACATTCGGAAGCAATATTTATACCCTGCAGACATCCTAAAGATCCGACAATAAATGCTTGTACTGGGTATCTACTAGTCGGGTAGACCCGAGCGCTCTTACCTGTTTTGTGCTGTGAAGTCATTCCTGCTGTTGCTGCTGCTCCTGGAACACTGATATTGGTCCTTGGTGGCTTAACAGGTCATGCGAATGCCGACAAAGGATGACAAGCTGTGCGAATCCTTTTTGCACTTAAGTTCTCTAATACACTTACGCCCACACTTGCAGTCACAGTTGTAGTCACAGTCACAGTTAGCTGTAGTCACTGCTTCTTGCAATTTATTATTCGCAAATAATCATAATAAATTCGGGCTGCCAGCACTCGAAATATTTGCCTTCCCTTTGCAGGAGTTCCACGCCTGCTTTTGGCCTGCATTAAGTAGCCAATTTCTTTCTCCACTTGGCCGTGTGCACATTTCGCTAAAATGTTTTATGGGCCCGCATGCTCTCCGAGATGTGCAACACTGTATGTCCACTGATTGCACTCTCCCGTAGGTCACAGAATCCTGCAGCCAAGTTATTATCTCAAGTGCCGACTTGTTAGAGTTTGTTTGTTGCGGCAACTTTGTGTCCTGTTCGCTTGTGTGGCTGCAACATTGTTATGCCGAAAGTGTATTTAATCTATATATATATAATACTTAATTATGTTTACATCGTCCGAGTCGAATCTATGCAGGAGACCCAGATATACCCAGACAAGCCGTGACCAAAGCTTAAACATATTTTAGAATTTTTGAAAAACACAAAAGTCAGTTCACTTTTTTGAGGTAGGGTAGAGCTTATTGGGAACTCTTTTCGTAGAAAGGCTTTGAAAATGCAGTAAAAGTCTGGAAAAAACGTGAAGACGTAATCAGGTCGGAGCCGTTTGCCATTCAAGAGGTTTATTGGCAGCCACGCGGCAATTTAACAAGTCTCTGCCTCGGGGCGAATACTGCAAATGAATGCGGCTGAAATGAGCACATGGCCACTGATTGATTATCGACACTGTTTGGCACTCCAAAAAAAAAAAAAAAAAACACAAATGCGCGGGCTTTGAATGATGATGGGCCAGCGCCAACTCAATCGGTTGATCCATGCCTCATCGATTCGATGTGCTCCAATGCGAACGAATAAGAATCGGTTACGTAATGCTTGCCACATTATACTCTTTGCTGTACTTTGTGTCTTCTAATGCCACGAATAACGAAATTGCGAACAAAGATTGGTAGCAAGCAGATGCCAGGGATTATGCTGAACTATCACGAACTGTTCATGCCATCAACAAGTAGAAGTGCCCGGTGGGGCGTGCCCCATGAGGAGATTAACCTAAAGACAGTTTCCACTTGCCGTCAGAAATACTCTACTTTATTTTTAGACACAAACACACAAGCTACGTTTATTCTTCTTCTTTTTTTTTAATAGTCTCACAGGTATGTATTTTACACAGTTTTTTTTTCCCTTCTCCCTTGTTTCCATCAACGATTGAGTCCAGGTTCTCGATAGTCATAGTCGATAAAACATCGAGCTACACATGTATTTACTCACTTATATTTACAAAATCTATAAATTTGTCTGAATTTGATAGTTGAGTCACATTTTCGCCACATAGATTAAAGGCCTAAATTGATGCCTCGATTTGAAGCTGGTTAAATACAGTTTGCATTCGTACTGCAAACACATTTCGTAATATCTGAGCACAAGGTGCCGAATATCCTAGAAGTTGGTTTTACTGCGCCTAATTAAAGACAACTCCTTAGGTTCGTCCAGGCAGTGGCTGTCATTGTTCCATTGTGTACGCATTTGAGCTAATGAGTTGTGCAGAATTTGAATTGGAGTTGGCTGCTTAAGAGATGCCTTAACAGTGCCTATACAAAATACAATTTGGGTATGCGTGTGTATGTGCGTATTGTTATATTAAAAAATTAGTTGCTGAGCGTGTGTGCGTGAGCAGGGCTTAAGAAATCAAAAAGGATTACCTGCAACAGCAACAGGTTGCCCAGGACTCAGGACCCAGAACCCAGGATCTCAGCTACTGATTGGTTGTTTGTGGGCGGACTTGCTGAGCTGGTCTGTCAGCTTGGCTGTCGGCCTTTTCTTCAGCCAGGACTAAATTAAAAGCAAATGAAATAACCTTCATCTGGTTAATATAGAGAGCTCTCGGCTTTTGTGACCTGCGTCCATTGTTGAACATCACAAAGCGCCCAAAGATGGCCGCTGGCTCAAAACCCAAACAAAAACACGCAACGCTCCCAATTCAACAAACTGTTTGATGAGCTTTTGGGCTAAATAGTGTAATAGTATGATTTTCTTCGTTGATTTAACTTATGTTCGGGTTGCCTTTTTATTTTTAACAACACGTCTTCTTACTGCTAGTACTGTAGAGAGACTGCCTTCCACTTCTTCTCTGCAGCCGCTTTTCTTTATCGATATTTACTTATCGTACTGTTATAATTAACATAGATAGTGACACTATAATACCCTGGCTAGGGTTACCAATGATGCTCTTATCCTATTACAACTCGGCCATCCTGACAAAGAGAGCTCCCGATCTCTGTCTTTTATATGTGTATCTATCTTTATAACTAATGCTTATTGCCTATTTTCGCATCCAATGCTTAAAGTTTTGGCTATTCCAGATACCAACGTACGGGTTGCGAGATAATTGAAAGCCTTCTACATCCTTTAACAAGTATCTATCATTTTTTAAAATCTTTTCTATACTATAAGGCCCTTTATATCTTGGTATTAACTTTTTTGAAACTCCTGGTGTGCTATCAAAATTTTTTACCATGACATAGTCACCTATTTTATATTCTACTGATACTTTCTTCTTTTTATTAATCCGCTCTTCATTTCTGATTTGAGCTTCTTTTTGATATATTTCTCCACTCTTTCTTATATTTTCTAAATTTCTTTTATCACACGTGTTCACCTGTGTAAACTCTTCTAATTTTTCTTTTAATTCATCAACAACTTTTCCTTTCTGTTGTAATCCGAATAACATTTCGCTTGGAAATTTCTTTATGCTTTTGTGTTGTGTGTTGTTTATTGCATATTCAACATTTTCTATAATAACATCCCAATGTAAACCATTTTCTGGCTCCGCCATTTTTGCCATCATCGGACCCAAGTCCCTATTCAACCTTTCCACCTGACCATTTGCTTGCGGACAACCCGTTGCTATTTTAATATGCGTTACTCCCTCATTTTTTAAAAATTCATCAAACTCTTTTGCAGTAAAACAACTCCCTCTGTCCGATACAATGAACTTAGGTCTACTATACGCTCTGAAATAATCTTTTAATGCCTTAATCGCTTCTTTCGTACTTGTTGTCTTTGCTGTATATAGTCTAACAAATTTTGAAAATCCGTCAACCACCGCCAATATATATTTATTAGCCCTTCCTGCATTAATTGGTCCATAATGGTCTATATGGATCATCTCCCACGGTTTGTTTCCTTTCGGTATGCTATGTAATAGTCCTTCACTCTTACCCGTCTTGGGGGCGAAGGCAATGCATTTTAAACAATTCCCTATATGCTTTATTGCTTTTTCCTTAATATATGGGAACCAGTAACTCTTTCCAATGGCATCGATCATCTTATCTCTCCCAGCATGTCCCAACTCATCATGATATTTGTAAAGTACATGTTCTTCCATATCCTTTGGTACATAAAAAACTAATCTGCCATCATTTGTTTTTCTGTAAATGACCCCATTTCTCATTTCGAATAGCTTGTGCTCTTCTTTTTCTAACATCTTTCTAATATCTACCAGTTTGTCATCTTTGCTTTGGCAAATAACTAAATTGTCCTCAAAACTATTGGATTCAATAACTAAAATGTCCTCATAACATCTGCTTAACGCATCCACATGTTGCATTTGCTTGCCCGATCTATGCACTAACTCAAAATCGTAATTTTGTAGTTCTAACGCCCATCTAGCAATTCTCGGATTTAAATCTATTTTGTTAAGCGTTAAAGTTAAAGAGTTGCAATCTGTCATTATTTTAAATCGTTTTCCCTGTAGATATATACGAAATCTGCGTAATGCGTAAATGATGGCTAGCGTTTCTAACTCAAAACTATGATATTTAGACTCTACTTCGGTTGTTCTTTTAGAAAAATAAAAAATCGGGTGTAATTTCCTATCTTCTTTTTTTTGAAATAAAACAGCCCCAAATCCCACTGCGCTGGCATCACAATGTAGTTCTATTTCTTCTTTGTAATTATATATTGATAGTACTGGCGCCTCTAACAATTTATCTTTTAACATATTAAAACACTTAAACTCCTCTTCTCCAAACTTGAATTTCTTATCTTTTTTCAATAAATCATATAAGGGTTTAGCTAATATAGAAAAGTTTAAAATGAACCTCCTGAAGTAGGAGCATAACCCTAGGAAACTTTGTACTCCCTGAATTTTGTTTGGTATTGGAAAGGATTTAACCGCTTCTAACCCTTTTTCATCAGCCCTAACGCCTTTACTATCCACCACAAATCCTAAATATTTAACGCTGCTTTTAAAAAATTCACACTTATCTAATTTCAACTCTAATTTGTTTTGCACCAGTCTTATAAACACTTCCTTTAAGGTCTCCATGTGTTCCTTTATGTTTGTACTTGCTATCATAATATCATCCATGTAAACAATTACCTTATTATCTTTTATCATATCACAAAATATGTTATTAACAAATCTTTGAAATACATGTGGCGCAGTTTTTAAACCCATGGGCATCCTAAGAAATTCATATTGTCCTAAAGGGGTAACAAATGAAGTGTATTTAATAGATTGCTCATTAACAAAAACATGAAAATACCCGTTTTTTAGATCCAACTTTGAAAATACTGTTTTTCCGCATAGTCTGTCTAATAAATCGTCGATCAATGGTAGCGGGTAGTTGTCTCTACATATAATTTTGTTCAGTCTTCTAAAATCAATACATAACCTCATGTCTCCAGTTTTTTTCTTCACTAGTACTATAGGTGATGCATACTCTGAACAACTTGGCCTAATGATTCCATCTTTTAAATAGTCGTCTAATAATTCTTGCAACTTTTCTTTTTCCATATAAGATAACCGCCTAGGTGTACAATTAAATACTTTGTCGTTTTCTAATCTTATGCTTAACTCATGTCTTAATTTTGGCTGATTTGGCCTTTTCGCTTTTACATAAGTATTTTCAAATAAATTTTCAAATTCACACTTTGTGCTGTAATCAATATCTTCACTTAAAATATATATATTTTCTCTTTTGTTAGAATCTTCCCAACTTATTGTTAAGATATCCTTCTCAAAATTCTCTTCTAACACTCCCATGATTTCGCTATTCACTGGCGCTTCATTAACATGATTATTAATTTTAACTGCACTGTTTCCTATATCTTCTATAATCACTTTTTCAATCCCGGTTTGATTATAGATAATTTCATCACTAACAACTTCTTCACTATCAGGTTCGAGCTTAAGCTCTCCATAACTAACTATCTCATCACTAACAGTTTCGATCCCAATCACTTCATTTCTAACTATTTCACCACTAATTATTTTATTTCTAACTATCTCATCACTACCAACTTTATCACCAAGCGTTTCCGGACTAACAATTTTCTCACTAACTAATTCATCACTAACAGTTTCATTACTGACTATTTCCTTATTAACGATTTTATCATTTAACAATATAGTTTCATTTTGCTCGTGTTTGATATCTTCATCGTCCACTTTTTTTTGTTTTTCTTTGTAGCTTGTAGCTATGATATCATTTTTACCATTATTCTGGTGATCAACTTTATGCCCGTTCACAATTTTTAATGTTCTTAAATCAATATTTAAACCAAAAGAATCCATAAAATCTCTACCAAGCACAGCGTCATACCTCATAGACTCATTTGCCACAATTATAACATTAAAATAAACATTTATTAACTTTTTCTTCATAAAACATAAAATTTTTCCAAAATTTTTCAATTTACTTTCATTTAAACCTACATACGAATTTGCATCTGGCATACGCTTTACTTTTAATGGCACAAACTTTTCCTTTAAAAATGAAATAGGGCTGCCAGAGTCTATAAGGCATTCTGCAATTATTGATTTGTTAAATGAGTTACTAAAATGAATTCTTAAGTATCTTACATATTTGTTTTCCATATCATACTTTTTATTTGGACATCCTGCTATTAAATGATCCTTTGAGCCGCACGCATAGCAAGATCCTGCCTCCCGTTTGGGCTTTAAACAATCTTTGGCCCAATGGCCCTTAACATTGCAATTGTAGCAACGTTGTTGTTTGTCCGCCTGTGCTTCCTGTGCAGTTTGTTTCACTACATGGTTTCGTACCCGTTTAATTGGCAACTTTATAGCTGCAAACGCACGTAAAATTTGAGCCGGATTGGTAAAGCAATGCATACTAGCTTGAGTGCGCAAGTTTTCGCAAGGTATGCCTCGAATAATACCCTCCATTAACTCCTCTACATCAATGTTGATGTCCTGTGCCAATATGCTTTTTTCGCTAAAATATGTGGCGAACACCTCATCTGGTTTCCAAACCCGATCCTCGAACTTCTGTCGTAGTTCCGACTTCGAAAATCCTCCCCCGAAGGCCAAAACCAATTGATTTAGCATCTCGTCAATCGGAGCAATGATGCGCATAGGGTCTGCATGCAACCACTTCAAAGCACCGCCTTTCAATTTGCTTATACAAAGCAAGTGCTGTTGCATATCATTTAGTCTGTAGATCTTGGCCACATTGAAGAATTGCATTACCCATTTACGCACCTCACTTTCTCCAGTAAATTCTAATAAAATTTCCTTGGCTAACATCATCGCTCCAGTTTGGATGCAATTATTTAAGTTGCCTCCGACAGCGTTGCCACTTTCGTCGATCCTTCCAGCTGCCCCAGCGTTGCCCGCTGCATCAGCGTGATCAGCTGCACCAGCGTTGCCATCCGTTCCAGTGTAATCAGCTGCACCAGCGTTGCCATCCGTCGACCGTGGTCTTTCTTCAGTGTGACCATCCTCTAGCTGCAATAAATCGCCGACTTCACTTTCTTGCTCTCCCCCGTCGCTCCCGCCGATGTGCGAGTTGCGGTTCACCGTTACTTGAAATTCTTCTAGGAATTTTCGAGACGCTTCAATTTCGAGACGCATCAATTTCAGCATCTCGGCGCCATTTGCTATTTCGTCACGCTGTTGTTGCATTATGTTTTGCAACTCATTTTGAGCCTCAATTGTCTGTTCCTTGTTACGTTGAACTTCAAGTTCCTTTGCAGCATCGTCTCGGATGTCCACTGGTACCTTATTTAATCTCGCCATCAGCTC